GTCTGGTATTCTCGTACAATGCGCGCTTCGGTGTGCGATGCCATTTTGGCAAAGACAGCTTGGCGTGATCGAAGGTATCCAAGATCATTACTAAGATGTCTTTCTGAACTTTGGATCGCTCTCTGGCTAGCCAGTAAACTTCCCTGTCCCTGAAGGACTGGGTGAAGTGATGGAGTAGTTGGTCCGAGAGTTTCGCGTGCGTCATGTAGTCCTTATCTTCAACAAGGCGTAGAGACTTAATTAATAAATGAACACTAAATGGTAGTGGCAGAATGCTCCAATCCAAGTTTCTTTGGATTCCTGTATTTGTGTGCGAAGCTTGGCGCAAGTCAGGCACTGCGCGTGGTGACTAGGTTGCCGGAATTTCAGGCATTGGCGCCAAGCAATAGTTTGATTGAAGAAGGTCGCACGCGAAGCTGCCTGTTCTTTCTTGACAGCACACCATGCCTTGTACATCAAAAACAAAGTACTCCAGTTTCCGTGAGGCATCTCCCGGGCAGGGAGCCTGCTCGGGTCACTGTTGAACGTGACTTGCATAGAGCCACCCATCAATTGGGCATTGACCAAGCGGTCAAGAAGCTCATCTCTCAGCTGACTATCGGACTTGTTGAGCAAGCTTTTGCTGGCGATCCTGACAGTGTTTGTGTGTTGGCTTGGCTTTGATCAAGAATATAGTGGACAGCTGACACTCGATTCCAGACTTGTTCATGCAAGGGTCTCTGTGGCCATTGCCTCCCCAGCAGTCCAATACATGTGGAGCATGAAGGATTTAACACTCGCGCTCATGATGGCAGGTCTTTCTGACTGTCCTTTCTTGCATTCCAACTCGATGCTTGAAAGCCAAAGTGCAAAACTGCTTCACATGTGAACAGCTTTTCCATACCAAGCAAAGGCTCTGCCTAAGGTCCGGAAATCTTTCCCCCCAAATGTTTTGCGACATCGTTGCAGCCTCTTCCGTCCAACTGCGAGCATAGCCATCCAGGCCTCCTTGCAAACATGAAGTCCTCGCAGTGACAGGCCACTTTGAGTTTTGATGGACCGAAAAATGTGCTGACTTCACAATTTGCTGACTCCACAACAGGCCAAGCAAAAGTCCTTCTATGTGCCACTGCTTCTTGCCTCCACTGCCCTGCTGGATTGTCCACAGTACCGTGTCCTGCCCTGACTTGGACAGTGACCAAAACACGCAGCAAATCTTCATTAAGATCCTGAAATTGACAACGCAGCGGCACTTGCACTTAGGGCGTCGAAGGATGTCACGGATTCGATCACCTGACTTTCCGTTTTTTGCATGTTCTGAAAACTCCGCATCATCATGGTGAGATGCAACAACTTGCATGCTCTGGAGCCGCTCTATGGTAAGGTCAATGTAACCAATCCCTGTTTGGTGAGACTCAGAGCTGCTTGATCCACTGGAGGAAGCATCATCATGACCATCATTAGCATCACCACTCCTTGTTTTGCCCACAGGTTGAAGAACGCAACAAGATGGTCAGAGTACACTGGTGCATTGTTGCTTTGAACTTCGGGTGCAACCCAGACACGAATCAGAAGAACCGGTTGAATCATCATCATCATCATCTTCAAACCTTTGAAGCCCTGGAACTCCATTGTGTAGACAGCCATCCGGATCCCAACGGCCAAGAAACGGCATGTGAGGAAACTGTATCAAAAAGACGAGTGACAGGTAAACTATGAGGTTGAAGTCAAAAGGTTGAAGTCAGTTGAGATTTTATAACAATTCTGATGGCAAAGGAACGAACAGAACTATTGTGGTGTACTGTTTCGAACCAGGCAGGCAGGTGTTGGAATGTGAACTGAACAGTGGACAGTTCGACTGTCAAACAACTAAAACACGAGGAGTCAACAGTCTTTCCCTGCACCGCTGCACCTGTCAGGCCGATGCTTTGTGACACTTAGTTGCCAGCCATCTTTGATGGCACAGTTGCTGACAATGCAGCAGCTAAGTTTACCAAGACGGCACGAAGACACATAGCATTTCCTCCCAGCGAGTGCAAAACCTTAGATTTGTTCATGTTGGAATGAGGTTCCTGGATTCCAAGCGTTCCAAGGTAGATGAAATACAAAATAAGCATTGACATGTAGACAAAGGAGCAGACTCTGGCAAGTTGTTAATTTGCAGCCGATAAGTGGGTATCCCCATCAACAGCATCAATTCACGGCCAATTAAGAAGCGCTCCTTCTCCAAGATAAGCCACTTGCCATTTGGCCTTGGGCGAAGAGCTGTGCCATTAGAGATTTTAGAGACGTTTCACATCGTTTCATTCAATGCGAGGGAAGCACGTGAGGCAGGGCAGTGGCTTGGACTTGGCCACATTCACTGGCATTTGAAGCAAAGATTGACTTGCATTGGCGACTGCAAAGGAGCGGTGCTTCATGGTCAGGAGATCCAAAGCCTACAGAAAGAAAGTCCATGGTTAGGGTCCCCCCTCATGGTTCAGCTTTCCTGAAAAGAAATGAGAAAGTCCATGGTTAGGGTCCCACATGGCTCAGCTTCCCAACTGAGAAGCCAGTCCTGCCTCGACTTCCCTCTTGCTGGTCACATAGCGCCAAGCTCGAGGATATCGCTTCTTGAACTGGTTCTTGGATGCACGCAGTCCAACCTGCACAGAAGAGTGTTGGCAGAAACTCGAATTGGACCTAACTTGCCTTGTGGTGCTTGGCCCAAAGCTTGTGGCGGTTGATCCATTTGGCGTTGCGATTCAAAGGCCTGAGAAACATAATAGGGCCCAATAAGTAGAGCCTACTTTTCATAAGTTGCAAACAAACACACCAATAATAGAAGCCAGGCAACCTTTTTGCAGTCCTGATTCGGGCCATTTCACGGGCAGCCAAATCTTTCACTACAGCATGATGGTCTTCTGGCAGAAGGAGATCTTGCCTGGGCTTGGAAAGCAAAATGCCACTGGTTGCAACACGATTGGTTTTTGCAAGACATCGTAATCATAGGCAAACCACCATGTGACTTCGGGTTTGCACTCCATTGACTTAAGCTTGTTCAAGATGTACTCACAAAAGTTCTCCTCACAAATCGCTCGTTGGCATACATCCTTCCGCACCAACACAATGTATATGCGCCGGCGGGACAATGGGCACCCAAAATGAAGCCTGAGCAGCTTTGGTGCGAACAACTGCAGAAACTGAGTTTCTAACTCAGCAAAGTACTCAGCAAAGTGGCGGGTCACAGATATTGGCGCAAAGGTGGTACCTGCAGTTCAATCTATAAACAACACATCACAGTTTCCACGGTCAAACCAGTCAAAGTGATTAGAAAGCCAAGACACTGTTTGAGGTGCTTTTCGATCCATTCCATCACTGTAGGAAGGCATCGCTGGAATCCAAGCACGTTTTCCATCACCACTACCTTGGGACGGGCTTGGATAGATCAGTGAGGTTCAAACTACCGGGACTTACAAAGTCGACAAGTTTGCCAAGCCACTTTCGGAGAGTGTTTCTTGATCCGTCGGAGTGTCTCGAACAGCTGTCGAGCATTGTCATCGTCAAGAAGGGCACCATGATTATTGAGAAGTGAATACGGGGTGCACGGAAACCCCGTGCAGTACACTTCGACCTTCAAGATCTCATCAAGGGTCACCAAAAAAAAACACTGTTGACTTCACTTGTCATTGCTGTCGGGAAGCAGACTTGAACTGTTGCTTCTTCTGATCAAACATGTCGCTGGCAATCCTTAGGCCGATAAGGATATATATTCTATATTACGAATATAGCTCGGTAGAGGGTGAGTAGTTATTGTTTGCAAGATAGTCTCTGCTCACACTCTGGAAAGTTCTGTTCCAAGAACCGCCGCTTCATTGGATGAATCTCAGATGCTGACCTGAGCAGGTGTCAAAAAAAAGGTTTCCTTGTGCGGTATGCCTGAGGGGACTTGTGAAAGGCTTGGAGCCTGGCAAGTGTTTTAGTTGTTCAGCACGCCCACATGCGCCGAACAACATCCCCAAAGCCAAGAACGGTGTCTCAGCACCTGAGCCTTGGATAGGGCACAAATAGGCACAATAGGGTGACTGGGGGCTTAAGAAGACCATAGAAGACCTGACAACATCTCCGAGTGGCAGTCGGACACGAAGTTGACGTGCTTCTTCTTGGGGAGTGCTTTGAACCACTCGGCCAGCCCTTGGGTTGTTGTCTTAAAAACAGCATTAGTTCACTTGCACCCAGACGCATCGATTTGGAAAGCGTGCGTCCGAGAGTCCAGATTTCTGGAGGAAGAGGGGTCCAACCTCCAAATACCTCTTGACACGGGCTGGCACCTCCTCTTGCTCCAAAGGCTCTTCCTAACAAGTAGAACAGGGAGACTCAGGATAGAGGGGGTAGAGATAGAGCCTGACGAATATTAGAGATGAATAGATTGAAGGAAGCACTCCTCAGAAGTGTCAGAGACATCGCACCATGGTGGAGGGCACTGATGCGACGCCATGCCGCAGAGGCTTTCAACTACCCTGACCCAAAAAGATTCTCGCGGGGATGCGGCCTTTCTCACAAGTCCTGAGACTCCCTTACCAATTAGAAAAGTATCGGTTGCAACAAGACAAGCCTATGTGTTGGTCCTTCTAATGGGTATGAGTACCACTGTGACCTTCATATTGCTGGATTGAAGCAATATTGATCCCTACATATCCTTACATTCTGGGAAAATGAATTAGCTGTGTGGCTATAATAAGGCCTCTACATCAGTCTGTGCCCAGTCTGTATCACCATCAGGTCGTTGGATATATATATATATAATAATTATGGTCGGTTTGCCGTCGGGAAAACCGAAAAAGCATTGCTTTCCGGCAACGACAGCAGAAATGGCAGATGTTTCGTCGGAGAACCCTTTCGCCCCGCTGTTTTGTCGTTCGGTTGTTGAGAAAATTACCGTTCTTGTACCCCTGATCAGTCTAAGATATTGTCCACTATTGTCCGGACAACTATGTGCCCCAAGCCGACGAAGCGCCTTTTTTGCTTACGACTGTGCCAAGGAGCGTCTACAAGAGCAACACATTGAAGAGGCAGTGCTTGGATTACATGTGGCTTTCCCGCATTTTTCCGGAGACGGGATGGAGACGCGAATCACGTATTCTGCTGTAAACACTTTCACCTGCTTTGTACGGCACAAGTTTTAGAACTAGCCGGTTTGTTCTTCAATGGTGCCGTGTCACATAATACGGGGAAATTCACTCTGGAGTACTAGAGTACTGTGGTTGTCAACTATTGACGAGATTTACTTACTGTAGCATTGTTTCTGCTGTGTGCCTGCGCCAAGTTTTTCGCTGGACGTTGAACGTGTTCTTTCTAGAATTTGGCACAGATTAGTTGCGGGAACATTTATGGCAAGGGGATTCAAGCTCACTTCGAATTAGGAGGCGCTTGGCTGAATGCTCTTGAATCTCATTGGCAAGCTTGTGATTGTGTCGATTGCAAAGTATGCGCGTGTAAGCTGGTTCATCACGATTCAATGGCAAAGGCATTGACTTTCACCAAGTCAGCCAGCTCTGTCAAGTAAAAGAAACGTCCAGGATTCAGGTGAGGGATTCAAGTATGTACCTCCTTTTGGTTCCCAAAAAGGTGTCCACGAAATTATATAGATGGTTTTTGACATTTGAGCTGCGCAGACTTGCCAGAATCTCCCGATTAGAAACTCCACCCAGTGTCAATGCACCTGTTTAACTGCTGTTTAACTGAAACAGCTGATTAACTTGTGGTTCTCTCCATGTCTACCAGTTGAGGGCATGACTGTAGTCAACCTGGCCTGCTGCTGGCTTCCATGAGGTTCTTCTTCCCATACCAGCCGCACGGGGAGTCGACACATGAGCCGGTCGTGCCAGCAACATGCCAAATCCAGAAATTTGCTGTAGACAGGCAGGGCCGCATGGGTTTGGGCAATATGCCTTGAGCTAGCTGCTAGCTCAACAAGATCGAAACATGTATCATGATCACCCATCAACATGTTATCAAATAGTTAATAAAATACCAAAATAGCTTCCCAAGCAGTCATTGTAGGAGGATGTATAATGTATGATCGAAAAAAAAGGGACCGCGAACCAATGGGATCACGTTCGTTGCACCGGCATCCAACGACCACCGACGTCACATCCGATGCCCCACCTCAGACCGCCGCCTGGAGGTCCCAAGATGTGGGTGCTCCTGTGACGCAACTCTCCGACCACTACGGTGCCTGGGAGCGCGGGCGTCCGGGCAAGGGCAGCGGAGGGGGAAGGTTTGAGGGAATGGACGGGGGGGGGGGGACCGGTGCTCCAAGCTGGAGGAACACCTGTGCCGGATGAAGAAGTGATGAGTTCTTGCTGCTATGTGAACGACTCGTAAGAAGGGCAAGATGCCGCGTTGCCCTATGACATGGAGATATGTAGATAATATTATGATAAACAATCAGATACATGCACATGTACATGTCACTGGAGCCTCCAGGCTACCCATGCATCGCTCTTGTATCGCACCACCTCTGAACACGATCGTCTTGGTCGGCCGACGTCGGGCTGTTGCAGACGTGTTGAGCAACAACTTGTCCTAAGGAGATCTAAGGAGTGTAGAGAAAGCCGTTTGGTGGGCAAATCGTTGTTCAATGAATTCGTGATTTGCGCTGGTCATGGGTGTTTTTTGCTTTGGGAAGTGGAAGTGTCTAGCCTTCCAGTTTGTGTCAATCTGTTGGCCTAGTGGCCTAGAGCAAAGTGATTTGGAGCGCATAGATTGTTCAGCTTTTGATCTTCGAATGATCTCAAACACAAGCCAGCGCAAAAAGCCCTCAGACGGTGTGAAAAAGCGCTTCCAGGATCTCCAATCTTCTTTTTTCTTCCTTTAGAGCTTCTCTGAGTTCTTCCCATGCTCAACCCAAGGTGTAGAAGGCAGTTTGGCCATCATCGAGTCCCCTGCATGCCTCACAGCTGAACGGCCTGAGCAGCGCAGCCGCATCACGGACTCTCAAGGCGGGAGCGGGAGAGGGCGACGGAGAAGGGAATGGAATGGACAAAACCTCCATACAATGCGGTTGGGTGGGGGATATTCATCAACATTCCACACTGTGTTCAATGATCTTCAGAGGGGAGGGATTCCTTTTCAATTTGGGAGTCACTCGTTGGAACTGAGAGTGGGGGTGAGGGCTGAAGTCCTTCGATTCTGAGCAAGCATGACCCTGTTTTTCATGGTGCCAATCCTGAATCCGTTTATGGAATAACTGAATAATATACCTATAGGACCATATAGGACCTATATGAACCCAAATGCAAGTGAAGGAGACCTGAGACTTTTTCCCAATCTATGTAGCCGTGGCCCTCTATGTCCTTCTTTATCTTATTTCATACGTATCAGAGGACCTTCCCCCGCAAGAACCTCCCCCTTGTGTGTTTGTGATATTGACGGCAAAAATTGATACTGGCTAATAGTGATAGTGATTTGCATATGCCAGCTACAATTTCAAGAAATAATTTGATGGAATTTGCAATACCGCAAGATGGCCATGTTTTTGTGCAATTAATGTTAACCTTTCAATAGTAACCCCCCCCCGCCCCCTATAAAGTAAAAGTATTTGTGTCTTTTCTGAGGTAGGTCAAGACTCAATCTCAATTAAAAAAAAGCACTTCCAGGCCTTTTGGCAGAGGGGATTTGGCAGAAGGGTCTTTCAATTGCTTTCATTTGCATTACTGTAATGTTTATTTTCATTCTGCTTTCATTGCGTTCATGTTGCTTTCAGTTTGCTTTCATTCTGCTTTCATTTTGCTTTCATTATGCTTTTATGTTGCTTTCATGTTGTGTTCATTTTGCTTTCATTCTGCCGTAATTTACTTCATACAATTCTAGTTGTACAATTAGTTATATACTTTCCGGAGCTTTCTGAGTGATCTGCAGCAGCGCTGCAGGGGGTTGATTATTGTAGGTTGGTTTTACAATGTTGGTTTTATAATTGCAGGGGGTGGGAGTCTAAAGGGGTACCTTTTGAAGATAATTGTTTGGTATTTGTTTGATAGGGGTTGCATAAGGAAATCTAAAGCTTTTGGCTAGCCAAAAATGTTGGGGTTTGATGGGCAAAGATTAAAAAAGAACGATTCCACAAAAGAAGAAAAAGAAAGAAGAAGAAGAAGAAGATAGGATAACATAAAAGTAAAAGGGAAAGCACAAGGCAAGGATAAGCCAGCAGGGCTGGATGCTGGGTTGAATACTGTAGGTTGGTTTACAATTGCAAGGGGGTAGGAGTCTAAAGTGGGACCCTTTGAAGATAATTGTTTGATATTTGTTTGATAGGGGTTGCATAAGGAAACCTAAAGCTTTTGGCTAGCCAAAGTTTTTGAAATCTGATGGGCAAAGATAAAAAAAAGAAAGATTCCACAACAGAACAAAAAGAAACGTAACAGGCGCATGACAAAGATAGGAGAAATTAACAGTGAAAGGGAAAGCGCAAGATTACTAGCAAGCCAGCAGGGCTGGAGGGGGGTTGACTATTGTAGGTTGGTTTCTTTTATTGTAGGGGTGGGAGTCTAAGGGGTACCCTGCCTTTGAAGATACTTTATGTGTATTTGTTTGATAGGGTTTGCATTAAGGAAACCTCCAGCTTTTGGCTAGCCAAAGTTTTGGACATCTGATGGGCAAAGATAAAACTAGATTCCACAAAATAACAAAAGAAAGGGAACAGGAGCAGGACAAAGATAGGATAAGTTCAAGTAAAAGGGAAAGCTTTGTGGGGTGTGTTTGCTCAGTTCTGAGCAAGGAAGAAGGATTGTGTCCCCAGTGGCTTCACAACAGAACAGGTCTTGCTGGCTTGTGACTGAGTGAGGATGCCATAAGCTTTGCGGGTAACTTTGTGGTGTCTTTGCCCAGTTCCGAGCAAGAAAGCAGGATTAGCATCGAAGCACTTCCAAGCATTGCTTCTGTTGCTAGAAGACACAAGCAGTGCGCCCATTGCTCCTCCTCAGTGGCTTCACAACAGAACAGGTCTTGCTGGCTCCTCTGTGTGCTCTTGTGATTGAGCGAGGATGCCACAAGCTTTGTGGGTAACTCTGAGCAAAGAAGCAGGATTGTGTCCTGCCTGAGCACCGAGGCACTTCCAAGCATTGCTTCTTTTACCAGAAGACACAAGCAGTGTGCCCATTGCTCCTGCTGAGTGGTTTCACAATAGAACAGGTCTTGCTGGCTCCTTTGTCCTCTTGGCTTGGATGCATGCTGCTGGAGACGTGGAAGCCAACAACCAGCCAAGCCACTTTCTGCACGTTTCATTTGGGTGCCGTTTTTGTTAAGCAGCCCCCCCATGACCAAGAGACTGCTCAAAGGCCTGTGTGCTCAGTTTGTGCTGGTTGGTACTTTTGGTTTCGGCGGCTCTATTAAAAAAAAAACTCAGCTGCCAGCCACACGCATTTCATATGTCCCCCCGGCCGTCACACGCCAGCGTAGCCTACTATTCCACGAGCAGGCTCAGAAGCCACATGTCTTGACGCCAGGCCCTCCTATGCGTTTTTTGCCCATTTGCAAGTGTGCTCAGGTCTCTCTCTCTCCCTCCTTCTCTCTCTCTCATTTTTTCTCTATCTTTGTCTCTCTCTCTCTCTCTCTCTCTCTTGTCTCTCCCTCCTCCTTTCTTCTCTCTTCTTCTTTTTAACGCAACATGAGATCTAACAAACCGACAAAACTGCAGAAGGGTTGATTATTATGGATGTTTAAAATTACAGAAAGTAGGGGTCTAAACAGTTACCCTTTAAAGATGATATGTTTGCATTAGTTTGAGAACACTTACATAAGAAGCCTAAATCTTTTGGCTAGCCAAAGTTTTGGAAATCTGGTCGACAAAGATAAAAGATACAAATTCCTCAAAAGAAGAAAAAGAAAGAAGAAGACGATAGGATAAGTTAAAAATAAAGTGAAAGCACAAGGCAAGGATAAGCCAGCAGGGCTGGATGCTGGGTTGATTACTGTAGGTTGGTTTGCAATTGCAGGGGGCGGGAGTCCAAAGGGGTACCCTTTGAAGATAACTGTTTGGTATTTGTTTGATAGGGAGCTTTGGGCTAGCCAAAGTATTTTGGGGGTTTGATGCGCAAGGATAAAGAAAGACAGATCCAACAAAAGAACAACAAGAAAGAAGACAATTAAAAATAAATAAAGGTCGGCCTGAGATTTCTGAAGCGCAATTAAAGACATCCTAAAGGCAAATTGGGACCTGAGAGAAAAACTGTTTACTATCTATTATTGTTTCATGTCTATAATGAATTCGCTTTGTTAAAACATACACTTTGGGATCTGGATGCTGGTGAAATTAAAAGTAAATTGCAAAATCCTGGCAGGCCAAAAAAGCTGACCATTATAGACGCATGGTTCATTATTGGGAGGTTAACATTATTCTATTTGTGAACAACACTGTGGAGGACACGGCAGTGATTTATTCAACGCTGTGCACGTTGACAAGTAAGTGTGGACGGGTTCAAGGTGACGGTGTCTCTCAAGTGGTGGCAGACCAAACCTTAACCATTCAGATCAGTTGCATATGTTTTGATTGTTTGGCAGATAAGGCCTTGGGGTTTGTCACTTGTGATATGTTGGCTACACGTATACTTTGCGAATAAGCGCCAATACATATATAGGTCAAGGTAGTATTACACCGAAACATTTGTGCGCTGTGTGGTTTGGGAGGTTTTAAGGGGGGCTCTATGATACCTATGATTATTGTTTGTATGATGCTTGAAGAAACAGACCCGAAACAGGTTCATGTCCGTTTACTCTAAGTAATTTTGTTCAGAAATATGGGTTTCCACATCATCATTTTTTCGTCATGTTTTAATGTCCTTCCTTAAACCCATGCTCCTCAAAGCGGGGCTAGTTAGGGGGGCAGTTTGAAAACCAATGATGAAGAACTGGTCCACCCTGGGGCTTTGCAACAAACACCTGCACAGCCTAGTTGCTCCTCTCGTTCTACCTGTCATGGCCACAGGTGAGGTGCCCTGGTGCCGGGGAGTCAAGGTTAAAACTTAGGGCAATTTTCGTGCCCGCAGAATATATAGGGTTGAATATACTCCACTTCGACCACTCGCACCATTGCCTTTAGCAGGAACCTTTGTGACTAGTGACTAGTGACTAGTGATGCTTGGGCAGTCCAGAGAACCAAGGCTTTGGGGTTCGGATGCGGTGTTCCGACATCGTTGCTGCAGCCAAATCGGAACTGCCAGGCTACAAACTTGCAAGCGTTTCTGGAGAGGAGCTTTGACTTGATTTTGTATGCACTTATCTCCGAAGTGACCCACATGCAAAAACATCGCCAGTTTTCTTTTGCATAACTCTCACCATCTCTCACCATATTCAAAGTCATTGAACATATTCAAGTTTGCATCTGGGGAGAATCCTTGTAGAACTGCAGTCGCCACTTGGGCTTGGCGGCTTGGCCATTCACCAAGGAACAGAGTCACAGGTGCGAATACTTCGCAGAATCAGAAGGGTACGTTGAATCTGGGTGCGTTGGTCACTAGTCCTTTTGATAAGACATGCACTGTGCACGACTGTGTGTGTGTGTTGTTCAATGCCCAAGTTCATTAGGGCACTTCTAAGTTCGCGGCAAGTTTGGGTTCCCACCGATCAACGACAGAAGACTCAAACCCATGGGATTGTTTTGCAGTAAATGTTGGCAATGCTGCTTGAGATCCCTTAGCTCCTAGTAACTGTGCAGCCAGACCCTCAGGAAACTGCCACCGCACAGCCCGATGGCCAAGTCCAGCTGGACAGTGGTGGTGATGGTGTTGCGGAGGAAGCTGCACGGCAGGAAGCAGCAGCAGAGGTTGAGGCTGCAGCAGATGAAGTGGAGGAGCTGGGATTCCTTTTTGTTGGGATAGAGGCTAAAGGACCCGACATGGGAGGAACCTTGAATGTATGACAGACTATGACACGAAACATTGTCGTAAGGGGAGCATGGTTGTTTTCTTACAAGGTCAATGCTACATAAATGCTTGTCGTTCTATACTACAGGGTTGGAGCATCCGGATGCCTCACCATGACTCTACAAGTTGGTGCCGGACCGGTAGGGATGGAGCTTTTGGACAGGACCAGCATGGAGCTTTTGGACCAGGGCGTCAAGAATTGGATATATTTAGAGTCTGTCATATTACCTGCAACATTTTTGAACATGGCCTGCAACCTAACCATCATCCACGTGCACCATGCCCGCATGCCAGACCCTGTCCTTTCGACACTGACATTCAACTTTGCCTCAGATGCCCGTACAATCCGGTTTTCAGTTTTTGTGTTATGCAATGTGCTAACCAGCTCTGTT